AAAAAACCATAAAAAATCCATAAAAAAACCATAAAAAATCCATTAAAAAACATAAAAACTGAAGGTTTTTCAATGTTTTCCAATTTTCCAACCTTCCCCAACCCCACCCCCTCTCGCGTGCTGGGATGGGGTTGGGCGGGCTGAGACAAGGCAAGGGTTGGGCTTGGATGGGATGGGGTTTCAAGTCCACTGAGTTGGGGCGCGGTGGTGGGATGGGGTGGGTTTGGGCGGTGTGGGGGGGTGGGGTCCGGTGGGGTGGGCTGCGCTGGGCTGGGGCTGTGTGGGTGGGGTGGAGTAGTGTGGGTGGTTGGGGCTCGGCTAGGTAATGGGGTGGGGTTTTGGGGAGGTGATTGTGGAATGGCGGTGGTGGGGGCGGGGTGGGGTGCTTGGGGTGCTTGGCTCCTGTAACACGGGGTGTCCAAACAGAGGGCTTTGGGTGTGCAAGGGTGGGGCATGAGTGTAAACCCCATAACTGGAACTTATACAACTTAGAATTATTGGTATAGTTATACCCCTATTATACTATACGTTGTTTCTAACCAACATCATAACTGAGGGGCATCTCCCTGTCTACGGTCGGCCCTAGCATAGAAGATGAATGTGGGGCGTTGCTTTCTGGCGCGGAGGTTTCTTGAGTGCCTCGACGGCGTAATGCTACGCAGGAAGGCGTGGGCGGATTGTCTTTTTTCTTTTTTCGGAGACCCTGGGGCCTGCAGTTGCATCGGCGCTCACAAGACGACATGTGACAGATTGCAATCGTGCGAAGCATTGCGGTGTTGTTTTGAAATGGAGCCTGCGCACGCTTCACATCGCTTGGAACAAAGAGCCCCGAAAGAATATGTTCCCTTGCTTCCTGGCATGCGCTAGGCTAGGGTGCGCCGCCTAGGTCCTAGGTCCTAGGTGTTGCATTCACGCGTAGCTTGCGCAAGACAGGAGAAGCGAGGACAGAAGCGTCCGAGGAACCCGACAAAACAAGAGGAGGCCTGGGCGGGCGAGATCGCGACGTGGCGTCGGCAGCTCAAGGTGAAGGCGTCGGCGATGCCCTTCGATCTGCTCAAGAAACCTTTGCGTGGCTACGAACCCACCCCCCGGGAACGCGCCATCTTGAACTGCGTCGTCTTGGAAGAGATGGCACGGAAGGGTGTGGACTTGAACAAGCCGGTCTCCAAGGCCCGCGTGCGCGAGTGCATCGCCACGACCATGGTAGACCTCTCCCGGAGTCCCCAAGGCAAGAGTTTCGCTGGTAGGGACGGCACGAATGGTACTCTCACCACAGGGGTGAAGGCCGTTCACCTTGGCGAGCGGCGTCGGGTATCTGGGCGGGAGCTGCTCTACATGCAAGGCCACCCGCGCACCATGGCTGTTCCATTTGACACGGAGGATAGTTCACTGCGATCTTTAGCCGGCGAAGGGATGGCCCTCCCCTGCGCAGCTGTGTGCATCCTGGCCGCGTATGCCTTGAAGAATCTCCCGTCCGGTGACTGAGGCCTCAGGGCCCAGGGCCTGGAGTCTCCGGTAGGACTCAGTACTAGTGTTTTGTTGGTTGAGCTGCAGCACAGTTTTTTAGCAGCGCCTGCGCTGAGTGCACTCAACAGCGGGACACTTTCAGACGACGGATTTGAGTGGGTGTGTGCCCTAGCAACCAAGCAACGCATAATAGCAAGCAAGAGCGTAGCTGCGACAATGGCAGGGCCAGACCTTCACTTGTTTCACAGCTGCGATGCTGCAGGCTACTCAGACAAGCCTTGGCTTCTTGCTAGACTGCGCAGGTGGCCGGCTGAGGCCAGGTAGTCGGTGCAGTGCTTCACTCCAGGGACAGTGTGTCCGTAGCCTTACCGCAGCGCTCGTGAACACCCTGATGCGCCATAGCATGACATCTAGAATCTAGAATCTAGATTCTTGATTCTGTACCTAGATTCCCTCAAACGGTAGTGGTGGCTTAGACACCCAGAGTGGCATAACTCACGTGAGCAAACATCAAGGTCAAGGTGTCAAGAGCAGCTGAGTAGCTTTTGCCTTTTTCCATTTGGCAAACAGTGTACAGGGCCTCGCGCAACGCAGCTTGCATCCGCATGCCCAGCGCTGCCTGAGTGGGAACCTTTTGCAATTGAGGCGTTCAGTGGCGGCAGCAACTTTGAGAGATTTGGCTTGCGCTGGGCTGCGCTGCTCACAAATTCAAATAGGTACTGTGTGTGTGTCCGCGCAGTCATCTTCTGCTTTGAGCGGCGCCGTTGGCCAGGCATGGGCCAGCAGGGGGCGCAGAACTTCAGACGCCACCTTAACTCAGCTTGCAGCTACGGCAGGTTAGGCTATAGCAGGAATGAACTTGCAGAGGGCAAATATCTTCCTTCCAAGGCGCATGGTAATGAGGTAAGATTTTCGCAAGCAGACCGTGCACCCCTCTGCTCTCCTGGACCTGAAGCCTCTGCTAGCTGCTCCTCGTGCGAGAACTCAAACTTGTCTCCGCGCAGCGCAAAGGGCAGCCAGGGACACAGCGTAGCAGTACACTGTACACGTGCCCTTCGCGCCGGCTTTTATGGCTCAGCCACAAGTACGTGCCACAGCTGGCGCTGACTGGCAGTGAGACAGTAGCCTTGAGTCTGCACCGACTGCGCCGTGACATGGCGCCAAAGAAACAGAAGCAGCAGCTGAGCAAGGCCCAGCTGGCCGCGCAGAAGAAAGCCAAGGCTAAGGCTTTGGCTAAGGCGCCTGCGAAGCCGGAGAAGAGTGCCCCCTCAAAGACCAGGAAGCTGAAGCAGGTGCAGGCAGGGCGCTTGCTTTGCATCTGTGGCCTCCAAATCAGCCTCACTGCTAGCTGCTAGCTAGCGCCTGTGATCCGCTACAAGTTTTGCCCGACTAGCAAGTACACCAGCGTGCTTTCGACGCTCTGGGCATGCGAATTGTGTGCAATGCATTGTTGCCGTTGTTCGCGTAGTAGCTTGGCTTCTAGCCTTCTGATGGCCAAGCGCTTAGGGCATTAGGGTAAGAACAGTATGCCTCCCTTTCTTTGCGCAGGAGGAAGCCACGCCAGAGGCAGAGCAGAAGGCCGTGGAGCTGCAGTCCGCTCGCAAGTCAGGGAAGCGCTCCGGAGCGCCTTCGGACTCCGCCCGTGCGGCCAAGAAGGTAGCCGTGAGCTGCCTGACGTGCGGCCGCGCCCCGGAGGAGCGGCGGGGCCGCATGTAGCAGTGTCGGTATCTTGCTGGGTGCATCTGAGAGAGCCACCATTGACGGATCGGGGTAAACTTGTTTCTTTTTATAAGAAAGATCGAGGTAGACGCTATTCGCTGTGAATTTACCGAGATCCCAACATTTTAAGAAGGATCCCGGTGAGCGTCTTCAAGCAGAATTTAGAGTGGGCTGTGAGCGCATGCTGATGCTGCTCCTG